ATGCTGCCAGACCTGCTGAGCTTTTCCAGCAACTTTGTTTTTGTTCATGATTGCTAACCACTTCAGCTCTTTCTTTGTATTGTCTTTAGGGTTTGGATGGGGAGAAAGGAGAGAAGGGAAGTGCAGGAGAACCAGGAGAACCTGTAAGTATGAGCCCTCTGTACTAAGCGCCTTTATTTAAAGCACTGTCAAGGGGATTGTGTCACTGTGGGGACTCCTTTGCTCAAGGAGGACAAGCATGAGAGCTGTGATTAGAGTGACCAATAACTAAATCGGGTGCAAGCTCCACATTAGGGTCTAAAGATCTGTTCTAATAAATATCATCTGTGACTCCAGTTGTCAGCACTCTTACCTAGGTCAAATGTTTGCGGGTTCATAATCCCATTCCAGGACATCAGCACAAATATCAAGGCTCACAATCCAGTGCAGTACTGAGGGGTATTGCACTGTCTCAGGTACCATCTTTTGGATAAAACGTTAACTGGAGGCAACATCTGTCTTATCAGGTGGGCATTAAAAATTCCAAGGCGCTATCTCATTGCACAGCTAGAATGGTTACTGTAGTGGCCAAGCAACACCCTCAGTCAGAATCACAACAACAGATTATCTTTCCACTATGGTATTGCTGTTTGTGGGAGCTTCCTGTGAATAGCTTGGTTTCCAGATTTCCAACTTTACAATAGTGACTGCATTCCAAAAGTGCCATATTAGCTGGTCATAGCAGGTGCTATGTAAATACAAGCCTTAAGTAATCCTAATTATCCAGTGTGAAACAGACCCAGCCTCCCCCATCAAGTTGACTTGGTGGGAGGTGTGCAGGGGATTTGGTTGTTGGGTTGTATTGAGCAGTTTCTCCAGCATAGGATTTTGAAATCATGCAGCACAGGGAGGCCCTTTGGCCCAACAATTCTGTTCTGACCTACCAACATGACTCTCACTTTCCACCACTTTTCCACATTTCAAGGGCTAATTTTCTAATTTTGCCCATATTCCTGGCTCCATCTCCAGGGTAACTGGTAAATCAGCCTTTGTCTGTGCTGGCTTTTAAATGGTGACACTGCAGTCAACCACACTGTTCAATTAATAAGATGGTGCATGTGGTCCTGTCCCTGCCTCTGGACCAGGAGGTCCAGCTTCAGATCCTACCTGCTCAAGAAGTGTGTAATAGCATCTCAGAATGGGTTGGTTCAAAAATATCTTAAAGAAATAAGAACTTCTTTAAGAACATTTTTAATGGCAGTAGGAATATCTTAAAACGGACAGGCCTTCCTGGTCTGTATAGGCAAGGTTTTCAGTGGACAAATTTACTGACTCCCCAGGGATCATGTGCAATGTCACTCACTGCCTGTACCTTAAAGAGCTTCTTTATTCTCATTACCTGGTAACTTACTTAAAACTTGGACAGTTCTCTTCAAGAATAGTAAATATTGCCAAAAAATATATGAATATAAATATTATGTTCAACAAATAAAATGAGAGAAATTTGAGATAAAAGCCAAGAGTCATTTAGCAAGTTGTGACTTCAGAACAATTGAAGGGAAGACGTTATAGGTGCTCATGTCCAGTGAAATTATAGCCTTATTTCAATGAGGCACTGTGTTTTATCGTGTCTATAACAAGTGAAATTTTCATTTTAGGGTTCCCATGGATCACCAGGAGCAAGTGGACCACAGGGGCCTCCAGGTCAAAAGGTAACAATCACTTGTTGGTGCTGATATGAATAAATTGGTTTGACTTGATCATGGGATGTGAGCACGATCAGAAAGTCCTGTCTTAGTTGCCCATCCCTAAAGGAGGCTTGGCAAGTTGCTGATGTGCATCTTATGCAGTTTACACTGTTGCAATTGTGCATCGCCATAAGAGGAAGTGTATGTTTAAAATGGTGAATGGAATGCAGATCAAGAGGCTTCATTGTCCTGGATAGTGCTGAGTGTCTTGAGTTGATTTAACCACAATCTGTGTTTGGGCCTCCTTGATGTTGGTGTTGCGCATAAGGAAAGGGTGATGCCTAAAATTAGCTGACCTTTTTTCACAAGTTTCTATCCATTCTACTGGTTCAAATTTGCAACAAATAGTGCTCATGATGCAACCAGGAATGAGACATCTTTGTTTTCTCTCCTGTCTTTCACATGTAGGTCAAAATAACTGCTCCCTCATCTCAAATTCCAGGAAAAGGATTAAAGTGCTCGTATGAAATGATGCTGGATTTTTCAATGCACAGGATCTGTCAGTTGAATGGATGCCCTGTGCTGACCCCAAGGCACACTTGGGCCCATTTGACATTAGTACTGTTAAGCATCAGTGGAGTGTAATGCATGAAACTATAATGCACTATTCCTTTCATTCTCAGGGTCAGCAGGGTGAACAAGGTCGACCTGGAATCTCTGGAGCAAAAGGTGAAATGGTAAGTAACTTATGTAAAGGCAACTAACTGGGTTACTAAGTTTATACCTTTTCTTTCAACCAGTTCTAAATGGCAGCAGTGTCCTTCCCAAGAGTTGCCCTCAGTCATTCAGCTGAGAGAGATTCCAATGATTACCGCCAGACCACAGTCCCCACTGAGTGCCCCTAACATCAACTGTAATCCATCAGACAACAGCCAAATTCCCTCAGAAATCTTAGCAGCCACCCTCAATGCTTGTAGACTCCAATGTCACCCTCAAGAGCTGGTGGGGCCCTATTCCCAACTAATTTATTAGAACTGTACCTGTATCTGAAATTTTTTAATTTCTTAGGGTATTCCTGGAAGACCAGGGCCACCAGGGCCACGTGGTGTGCCAGGAAATGTGGTGAGTACATCATGATTTTGGGGTCTTGTGTATCAGGGGTTTGAGTGAGCAAATTAAGTGGTAAATCTTAATGATTTCATTACAGGGAATCCCAGGAGATCCTGGCCCTCCAGGCAAGGATGGTCCCAAAGGTGAGACGGTAAGTAAGACCAGGTTTGACCTGAGTCACCATGCCTCAGGCAAAATTACTGAGCTTGTATGCCCTGCCTAACATATTCCTCATGCCTCCGTGTGACAGGGAACGCCTGGTGTAGATGGTGAACCAGGATCACCAGGAATTCCAGGTGATACAGGACCAGCTGGAATCCCTGGATTACCAGGAGAAGGTAAAACTGGCAAACCGGTAAGTTATTAAACCACTATGTGAGATTTTGAGAGGCTGGAGGAATTCTCTAATAGACCCTCATTTGTGATTATTATGTTACAGGGTCAACCTGGTACACCTGGCTTAGTAGGACCACAAGGAGCAAAGGTGAGTTCATTAACACCTATTACCGACAGCCCACAAGATTAAAATTCAAGACACAAGCATTTTTCCAGCATCATTGCTGATGCTTTTATTCATTGTCAACAAATCAGAACAGAAGATAATGAAGTCTTCAAAACATGCAGGGCAGTCAGTCTGCTTGGCTTAAAGAGATAGCAGGATGTTTCATGCAGTAGTTGACTTTAATACTCCGTTGGTCCAAATGTGGCTTTTGCAATGTCTGAAGGAGATTAACGACTTCTTCTCGATCGGCGTCCACGCCTCCTCCTTCTTCTACGTCGTCTTCCGCTGCGTCTTCTGCCTTGTCCATAGCTTCTTCTAGAGCGGCTTCTTGCCATAGTGGTACTTTGGCCTGTCTCCAACTACTGCTACCGGTTCAGAAATGTTGTCGTTTTATATAGGTTGTAACTTCCCCCAGGCACCCATTATGATGCGTACAGGTACATGACCCCCATTGTGAATCATACAAGCATTAAAAGTGTTATATCCTTACATGGTATTAATGATCATATTGATGTACATGCATATATCCTGTCCTTGTTTGGTCTTGATATGCATACCAACTTATATATCTCTCTATTTAATAGACATGATACCTTATTAAGTATTTTTGTGATCATTTAAATTAATTTTCAGTTTGAATGTTACCATGATGGTTGTACGTGATTGCGTAAAAACAGACAACAGCAGAGGCTGTTTTTCTTCTGCAGTACAACACAATTCAAAAACAGAAAGATGGCCATTGAGTTTTGAGGTTGCCAATGTACTGTTTACAGGAACAGCAAAAACTTGCTTGAGAACTGCAGCTCAGATGGAATCCTGAAGTGAAGCAAAGGAAATATGGCAAAGCAGATCCAAGATATAAGCCGTGGGAAGCAACCCTGAAGCTGGAATCAAGGCGCACAGCAGGAGTGCTTGTCTAAAATGGAAACTAGGATAAGGGTCCAACTGAAGAAAGCAGACCAAGTCAATGCAGCGAGGGAGGAGACCTGAATTTTGTAGATAGGAGCAGGATCTAAAGTGGTTCTGGATGGAATTGGACCAGAAAAGCCCTTAATCAGACCCATATGAAAATATGAGTACCATTTTTAATAAAATATTGGATCGGTTTCATTTTCTATAGGCGTTATTTGAAGCAAGCAGAAGGCCCTATATTGTATAAATATAAATCAGGGACCTCTTTCAGGTTAGGACTTTGAAAAATTTCCACCAGGCTGCACCAGGAAGTCTCAGCTAGCCCTGCTTCAGTATGTGCAGTGTACACTGTACCCAGTCTATGCAGTGCAGGTGTTAAAAAAATTCCCTTGTATAGCAATGCCCATATTTGCACAAAGTATGTAAATGCTATGCTGTGCCCTTGGCTGAATGCCAGTTATAATGCCAGTAACTCAGGAATCCCAAATGATTGTGTAATCATCAGCAAGCATCCTCACTTCTCACCTGATGATGGAAGGAAGGTCTTTGATGAAGCAGTTGAAGACAGTTGGGCATATATAGAATTTGTTAAGCACCCTTAAAATCAAGATCATTTACAAAAAACTTTTGTGAGGAATTCTCCTTGGAGTACCCTATCCACTCTGGATGCATGTAGAACCGACCACAATTCTAGTTGACAACTGTGAGTTAACACACAAGCCTAGGGAAGCAGGACATCGGAGCTCTTGCAGACCAGAGATGCATAAGGGAAAGAAATTACCCTGAGACAAACAGGTGTGAAAAGGGAGACTAGAGAAAATGGAACTGTCTTGAACCATTCAATGGAGGCATCTTTTTGGGAGGCAGGTTGGAAACTATTCTATGTGCTTCCACTGTCAGATGCCAGGTGTACAAAGGAACTTTGCTGGCTTTTGCTGTTCCCCCATAAATTCAAGCTGCAAGACCAGTGTCTGTCATATTAAAGGTGGACAGTATCTGTTTAAGCATGACAGTTGACCAGGATAGTTGTCAGAATATTGTAAAGTAAAAGGTGGGTATATGTACCCTGACATGTCACTCTCTTCATGGGACTTTTCAGTAAACAGTCTTAAATCTCTATTTAACAGTCTCAAATCTACACTAGCTGCCAATTTCTAACACATGCTTCCAAGGATTTACTATACCCTACCCTAAACTGTATTTGCACTGTTTTCTGCAAGGACTGGTAACACCAGTTTACCAAGACTGAGACAGATTGTTCCTCAGTCTTGGAAGGTGAATGATGAATCAGGATGTGCAGTCATCCATTTGGGCTTCCCCTGTCATCTAGGGCAGGTTCTAGTCTTTCGGTCATGTCACAGAGGTGGTACTCTGGGTCTGGTCGACTTGATGATGCTCACCACAAAGTACAAGGAGCTGAAGATGCTGTACATCAAAGGTGCTCTCTTGAGACTTTGAACAAGATGCAAAATCAGAGAGAGCTGGGGTTCCAGGTTGCCCCTTTTCTCCTCAGGGCAGGAGGATCCAATATGGTGACTACTTTCCATTTCTGGAGGTCACAGAACATAGTTTTGAATCCTTAGCTCTCAAGTGCTGTGCTTGATACTGTGCTTTTGGCATTCTACTGAGCGAGGTGGCACCTGCTAACAAAGCAGGTTCACTGGAGGTGTTAACACCTGTTCGTTCTGAAACAATGTGGTTGTTAACACCTGACCAGGCAGTTCCAGGTCTATCTCATTTCCGTGGGATATTAATTATTCAAGGCCTGGCTGCATGAAGTCTGTTCACTGCAACTCTGCAGTTTGCAACTTGCAGAGTCCAGCTAGGTTTAAAATTGGCTTCCACATTTCAAGATTGGATAAAATGGGGAAGAGTATAGATGTGCCGCTGGTTAAAGTTTACTTGCAGAGTGAACATGTTGTAGGTTTATTACTGGGGATGTAGTCCCAAGCTTTCCAATGCCAGAGATAGGCATTTTATTGGGCAACGATTAGGCTGGTAGTATGCTATCTCTCCCACATAGAAAAACAGTAGTCAAAAGAAGCTGGAAGGGCTGGAGAAAGTCAGCTGCAAGAAGGAAAAAAAGTAGGAATTAAAAGAAGATTCAAAGACACAGAGGGCTCATTATAACTCATGAGATTAGGAGGAGCTGAAGAAGGGTCACTTAAAGTAGCAGGAAGGTCAAGATCCAAGAGATGTTTGGAAGCTGTACAGAGGACATTGAAACCCCAAGCCTTGGGGTGGCTCAGGAAAGGTCATATGAATTAAACGGGATCAGCAAAAGCAATAATGGCTAGGACTGAACCCCAACACACTGATGTATATTTCAACAGTTGATCTTGAGTGGAGGCACAGAGAAAGAACATGGATTGATAATTGCAAGGACTTAGACTTCTCCAACTCTCTCTCTCTCTGTTCCTCTCATTCTGTCAAGAGACAGTGTCCGATCAAAAAAAAGGTGAACTGAAGAAACAACCATTCACCAGGAACACAAATTCTACCAACCTTGCCACTGCTCAGGACACCAGACAACTATGCAACAAGAGATAACAAGGTGCAGAGCTGGATGAACACAGCAGGCCAAGCAGCATCAGAGGAGCAGGAAGGCTGGCGTTTCGGGCCTAGACCCTTCTTCAGAACTGGTTTCAGATTTCAAGTCTAACATCTCTAGGACTTTAAGGACTTTTAAACTGCTCGCCCTTCCAAACGCATTGATGATGATGATTTATTTATTTATAGTCACTTGTACTCTACAATGAAAGAAAGCCCATCTTCTTTCCATTGCCTCCACTATGAGTCCCGAGTCATGAGCTAGCTGACCGACAACACCCATGCTGCCACCTGCACAAGACCCACCAACTTCAGAGTTGCCATTCTTCCAGTGCCATCTATTTGTCATCGAGTCCAGCCTACCTTTCCATGGTCATCTTCTTGGTGTGTGTATCATTTCTGTGTTTGATGTCGCATTATTATTTCTCTCGACAGTAGGAGGTAATAAAATTATTTCTTTCACTCAAGAAAACATTGGTAATTGAACAGTGAGTTCATAGAAATGGAACTTGAGTGTCCTTGAGTGTTTGCGCTCTGTAGAAGGCGTCTCACATTTTTCTGCCAGATCCTAATTCCATAACCTTGTGTACATTTCTCCCTCATTTCCTTATCTGACCCTCCTTATTTGAAGCAGTGTTCATTATCTTAGGTATTGTTAGCAGGATTCAAATTCTAAATATTCTCGATAAAGATGCCTGTGCAATTGATCAGTGGTTAACATATTTATGGCCCATTTTGTCCTCCCCTTTCAGTAGAAACATCAAGTTGAAATCATTTAGGTTCTCCGATCCTTTCAGGTGTAGGTAATGTCTGCTGCAGAAGTTTATCAGGAAACTTTTGTTGAGACAGGGATGGATTCAATTTGATACCTCACAGATCAATTATCCCACTAAAAATGAAATTACATGTTCAAATATGAGGAGTGATTGGACAGTTGAGATGCCAGCCCCTGTGGAAAGCAGGAATGACTACAATGGAAAGAAATTGTATAAAAATCAAAAGGGTCAGTGCGGTGAGTTATTCAATCCCATGTCTTGATATGGATTGTTTATTCTTAAGCATCTGTTTCTTGCAGGGTGACCCAGGAGATCCTGGTATACCAGGGTTACCAGGAGACAGAGGCCCTCCAGGTGAAGGGAACCCAGGACCACCAGTAAGTTAATTCGATACATTGTTGAAAATAATCTCTAAACCACGTTAAAGCAGAATTGTGTAGTTTTAAGGTGAGAGGTGAAAGATTTAAATAGGACCTGAAGGGCAATCTTTTAATACCGAGAGTGGTGCTTGTATGGAATGAGCTGCCAGAGGAAATGAAATATGCGAGTACTGTTACAATATTTAAGACATTTGAACAGATACAAGGATAGGAAGGGTTTAGAAGGAAATGGGACAAAGACAGGCAAATGGGAATGGTTTAGTTTGGGAAACCTGGTCGGCATGGATGCATTGGACCGAAGAGTCTGTTTCTGTGCTATATGAGTCTATGACTCTAAGTCATGTTGTTCCTGAATTTGTAAGGTAATAAATCCTTCACTTATATGAAGTGTTGCATCTCCATACCCTTGTTCCTATTCTCAACAAGCATGTCTGATAAAAGTAAAAGGATTTGATCTGCCTCAACTCAATTCCACAGCAAAACCGTCGCACAAAATTCCTTTTGAGTCTGCACTTTTCCGTACTCAACCTGTTCCCAGGTGTTATTACCGATGCACCGCAAAAGCCCTTTTCTTTTCGACTCTGGCAATTGAAACATTCATTGAATGAGTTTGCCAGTACTCGGCCAAGCAAGTCATAATATTCAGCGGTCAGTAGTCCCCGTCTTGACTGGAGCAATAGAACAGAGTACACTGTGATTATCTCTACTGACCTGCAGCAAGCTATGGTTTCCTGGATCAGTTATATGGTTTATAGGCGTTGAAAACTCACTCATTTTCTGGCAGATCCTGAGATCTGCAGCTGTAGTTAATTTTTTTGTTTTCGCATATGTTAGCAAACAAGTGATCCAGGAATTGTTGACTGAGACCATTGCTTTACGGCTGGTTTCAACTATGTTGTAGTTTCTAAGAGCAGTGTCAGTTATTGGTCATGGCTGTTTTATTGGAACCTCACAGCTGTTGGAACAAAACAAAGAGCCAGAGACCAACTTTACTGGGTGTCCGTACCTTTCATTCCTGGATTTTAGATCTGAGGAACGGACATAATCCTAGAACCTCAGAGTTCAGGAATTGTTAGATAAATAAGTACCGCACTCCACCCAGTTTGATTTTTACCATTTTCATGTGATACAATGATAGCTGAGTTGTTGAATATTAATGACAATCAATCTCATAAATTGTCTGCAACAGATATAGAGCATTTATGTCAGGGCAATGACATTGGGTATATATTTTAACAAGCAGGCCTAAAGGCTGCAAATATTTATGTGTTGCCTTTCTGATGAATCTACATTAAGTATCCAAAGCCCAAAAAATATTAAAAATGTACTTTACGGTGTTCCAGCTTGGAATAATTCCCTGACAATCAGAACTCAGCATTGTGCACTTTATACATTTGCCAAGTAATTTCATAACTAACTATTGTACTCCAGTAAATTATACATGCTTCAAAATCATGATGAACCGTAAATCTTTCATGATGATCTGTAGTAATGATATCCATCACCTCTTATAACTCAATCATGTTAATCACATTTTCTTAACACTGTGAGGTACAAACATCCATACCTTGTGTGTTGATTTATGCAATAGATTTAATGTTGATGTATTTTCCAATTCACATCAACGATTGAACTTTATAGTATAAATCTAGAGAAAGAGTCTGAGTGGTTTCTGGAATTATGCAGACATGGATTTACTAACGTAAACTCACTAGACCTCCTCTTCAGTTATCGACTGCTTGACACAATAGGACGTTGTCTGACTTTGTAGCAGACAGCCTTATATACAAAGAATTTATGTTGGGAATTCATGCATTTATTGGTATACTCATCATTATATTCCTTTCAAATAAAGATCACTTGCCTCTTAAACGCCTTCATTGAAGCTGCCTCCCAGTGTATCCCTGGTCCCCCACATTTACTGCGTGAGAGAACATATCCTTAAGTTTCCAATTGCCTTATATCTGTACACTTAAGTCCTCAATCCTTTTACTTTGGCAACATACTTTTCTTTCTTACACAGTGCAGACTCTGTTGGACCTAATACTCTACATTCCAGAGTATTGAATGAGGTCGTTTAGAGATTGCCAATGCACTGGCAATTACCTTTGAAAATTCCATAGATTATGCAATGATTCCTGCACATTGGAAGCAAATGTTACCCCATTATTTAAGAAAGGAAGAAGAGAGTAAGACTCAGCAAATACTAGAATCTATCATAAAGGATGGGATAAGCAGACACTTAGAAGAAAATGATCTGATTGTGCATAGTCAGCTTGGATTTGCAAATAGAAAATCATGTTTGACAAACTTGTTGGAGCTTTCTTAAGCATGTTTCCAAAAAGATTGATCAATGGATGAAGTGTATTTTGATTTTCAGAAAGTTCTTAAGAAGGTTGTTTAGCAAAATTAAAGCCGATGGTACAGAAGGTAAGCTACTTGCATGAATCAAGGATTGGTTAACAGAAATAAAGAGTAAGAATAAATAGGTCATTCCATTTTAGCAGACTGTGACTAGTGGGGAATTGTAAAGGTCCCAGCTGTTCATAATATATATATCAATAATTTAGACGTGGCAATGAACAGTAATATATCTGATTATGCAGATGATACAAATGAATCTGGATTTTGAGGATGACATAAAATATCAGGAGGATTTAATGATTGGGCAAAACATGGCAATGGAATATAACAGAAAAAAGAGAGGTTATCCACTTTGGTAGTAGATACAGATATGCGAAGTATTTCTTAAATGGTGAGAAATTGAAAACTGTAGATCTATACCAGAAATTGAATGTCCTTGACAATAAGTCATTGAAAGCTAACATGCAGATGCAACAAGTTATGTGGAAGGCCAATGGAATGTTGGTCTTTAGTGAGAGAGAATTTGAGTACAAGGACAATAGAGTCTTGCTTCAGTCATACAGGAGCTTGGGTTAGACTGCACCTGGAGTACTGTGTGTAGTTTTGGTTTCTTTATCTCATTAAAGATATGATTGCCACAGAGAAAGAGCAGTAAAAATTCACCAGCCTTGTTCCCAGGGTGATGCATTGGTCCTTTGAGGAGAGATTGAACAAACTAGGGCCTGAATTCTCTAGAGCTTCAAAGAATGAGAGGTGATCTAATTCAAACCTACAAAGTACTTAAAGGGGACGCACAGGGTTAGATGCAGGAAAGATATTTCCCCTGGTTGGAGAGTCTAGAACCATGGGTCAAAATTTAAAACGAAGGGTTTGCCATGTAGGACTGAGAGTAGGACTTTTTTTTAACTCAGAGGGCAGTGAATCCTTGGGATTCTCTACCCCACAGAGCTGTGGAAGCTCAGTCTTTAATTGAATTTAAAGTAGAAGTTGATAAATATGTGATTAGTAATGACAAAGGCTTATGGGAACAATGTCAATTAAAGACATTGAAATTGTTTGATCAGCCATGATTCTCACTAATGGTAGAGCAGGCTCAATGGGCTGAATGGCCTACTGCTATTCCTGTGTGCGTTCTGGAATACTCCCTCATTCTTAATGTCATGAGAATATAATCAAGCAGAAATCGGTAATGCATATTTCTTTCTTTAAATAAAAACGATAACATTGTGTTTATTTCTGTCTTGTCTAGGGTGCTGCAGGACACCACGGAGAAAGGGGCCATCCGGTATGACAACTGTGATCGGAAACATTCAGATCATATTGGGAATTAGAGTTGAGAGCAAAACAGTGCAAAACAAGAAACAGCAATCAGTTTCCTTGTTAACTGATTTTTCTAAATGTTTAAAATATAAAACTCAATGAAATTTTCAAATTTTATTTCGTAAGCTGCAATAACTCTGTCAAAGAAAGTGCCATTTGACACATCATGTCTCTTGGTTAATTTGATCATCCACATACATTAAATAAACATTGTCATCGTATTGACTGCAATTTCCCCTCTACAGTGTTCAAAACCACCCTCAACCGCATCTCTTGCGTTTCCCGCAACTCATTCCTCACAACCCCTCGCCACAATAACAACAAAAACAGAAACCCCCTCATCCTCACGTACCACCCCACCAACCTCCGGATTCAACGCATCATCCTCTGCCATTTCCGCCACCTGCAATCTGACCCCACTACCAAGGACATTTTTCCCTCCCCACCCTTATCTGCCTTCCGGAGGGACAGCTCTCTCCATGATTCCCTTGTCGGCTCTACTCTCCCCACTAGGTCCACCACACCCGGCACTTTTCCCTGCAACCACAGGAAGTGCTACATCTGCCCCTACAACTCCCCCCTCACCCCCATCCCAGACCCCAAGAAAACCTTCCACATTAAACAGATGTTCACCTGCACATCTGCTAATGTGGTATATTGTATCCGCTGTTCCTGATGTGGCCTCCTCTACATCGGGGAAACCAAGCGGAGGCTTGGAGATGGCTTTGTGGAATACCTACGCTTGGTTCGCGACAAACGACCTCACCTCCCAGTCGTGAACCACTTCAGCTCCCCCTCCCACTCCTTGGATGACATGTCCATCCTGGGCCTCCTCCAGTGCCACAACGATGCCACCAGAAGGTTGCAGGAACAGCACCTCATATTTCACTTGGGTACCCTGCAGCCCAATGACCTCAATGTGGACTTCACAAGCTTCAAAATCTCCCCACCCCCGACCTCATCCCAAAACCAGCCCAGCTCGTCCCCACCTCCTTGACCTGTCTGTCTTTTCTCCCACCTATCCGCTCCTCCCACCTCACTGACCAACCCCCATCCCCACCTCCTACCTACCAGCCTCATCCCCGCCTCCTTGACCTGTCCGTCTTCCCTTGACTGACCAACCCCCATCCTAACTCCCCACCTACACTCACCTTTACTGTCTCCATCCCCACCTCCTTGACCTGTCCGTCTCCTCTCCACCTATCTGCTCCTTTATCCATCTTCCATCCGCCTCCCCCTCTCTCTCTATTTATTTCAGAATCCCCTTCCCCTCCCTCATTTCTGAAGAAGGGTCCAGACCCAAAATGTCAGCTTTCCTGCTCCTCTGATGCTGCTTGGCCTGCTGTGTTCATCCAGCTCTACATCTTGTTATCATAGTATTGACCATACTGTTTTCCTTCAGCTGGGTAAATATTTTCTGACACTATAAAGATAATGCAAACTGGTTCTGAGTTGAAAGGAAGCCACTCCTGGATTTTCTGGTCCCACAAGGAACATAGGCTTAGGCTTTGAAAAAGGGGTAAATATTCTCGCCTCTCAGGGCAGTTCTTTCCTCTGTTAGATCATCGGTGACCAGCGTTTGAACACTATTTTCATCAAACAACTTGTAACCCTTATCCAGAAGAATCCATTCATCTCAGTTCAGTCTTGAGAATTTCACTTGGAGCAGCATCAGAAGTCTTTTGGGGAAGGGTGTACCAAATTTCCACTAATCATCACGTGAGAGAGTATTTCCTGGTTTCAGTTCTAAATGACCTTCTTCTAACATTAGGTTCAGGCTCCATGGGTATTAGGTCCCCTGTACGAACCTATTGAAACCTCTTAGTATTTCAGACCCTTTGATCACATCACCTCTTTCTAATCTCAAGGCAGTCCTTAATCTAACTGTTTTAGCCCTGAAAGTTTGTCAAAATATGTACACATCATCTCAATAAGATGCCCTGGTGGTGGAGTGCAAAACTAGAGAGCATAGGTTTGAAGTAAGAGGGGAAACATTTATAATGGACCTGAGGGATAACTTGTTCACACAGAGGGTGGTGCATGTATGAACTGAGCTGCCAGAGAAAGTGGTACAGCCAGATACAATTACAACATTTAAAAGACATTTGGCAGGGTACATGACTAGAAAGGGTTTTAGACAAATATGGACCAAACATGGGTAAATGGGACTCGTTCAATTCCTGATACCTGCTTAGCATGGGCAAGTTAGACCAAAGGGTCTGTTTTCATGCTGTATGACCCTATGACTCTATGGCAGTCTTCTGGTTAGAATACCAGTTAAACCTTGATTACATTCTCAGAGCATGATCTTCATATACGAAGAAGGATACCAACCAGTTTCCAACTGCTATCCTTCTTGCTTACTTAGATGAGCAGCCTCTGACCTGAATCAGAGAGGTGAGAATGGAATTATGGTGAACATAGACAGTTTTGACAGCAAATGGCATTAAAAGTGCCTCTTTTGGAATTCAGTTTCCTGGGTTCACTCCGAGTTAGGTTGTCAAAGTAAACTTCACCTTCCTCTTCCCAACTCCACCACAAAGACTCTCCTAATTATTTCACAGAGTATGTATGAATCCATTACAGAAAGTGCACATGGAATTCTGTACAAAAAAATACATTCCACACTAAGCAATCTTAAGTACCAGATGCCTTAATAGTTAACTCAGCAGCAAAGATGATGCGTAATTCAGCAACAGTAATGTGTGAGGATAATCCTCTATTGCAGTCCTTTGCAGTGATTTTGACTGAGAAGTAAAAATAAAGGAAATGGTGCATTGGATAAAAGTATGATCGGAATTGGCATTAATGTTGATTTTTTAATTGGACTTGCCAGGGTCCACGAGGCTCACCAGGAACCCCAGGCCAGCCTGGAAGTGATGTAAGTCTTTTTCAAATTTCTAAGGGCACTGTCACATCAGCTTAAGTAATATTTGGTAGCCTTAAGTTGTTACATACTGAATTTCACTACAAACCCCATTGTAGTGAGAATCTATCCCTGATTAACTAACACAGGAGAAGGTAAGCCTTAGAAGAACTATTATATCCTGCTCTCATTCACTTTTCGAGATTCAATAATGGATTAACATATCCCTCTCTATTCCAGCGGCTATGCCTGGCACAGGAAGAATGAAGGAAAAGCCAAGAGAAAAAAGAAGTTTCAAATTATAGTGTCTTACTTTTAATGGGGGAATTCTGAATTTGGACAGTTGAGTAAAATGCATGGCTTCACTGTGGAAAGCCACTAAAATCAATGGAAATGAAGTTCAGGAGTAATCTTCCAGGGATGGCTAAACCAAAGTTAAACCAATGCCAAAATAATAAGTTGTATAAATTTTAGAAAAAAATGGAAGGGAAGAGATTCATAATCCAGTGTTGTTACCATTTTCAATTAAGTAACTATCTTTTCCATTAATGCCCTCTTACTGGACCAGGGTAAATAATTGTAAGTCAAGATGGATAAAGATTGATGTTGTGCACAAAGTATTAGTACTCTTCTATATTAACATTGAAGTTTTCTGGAGTCTCCCTTTGCCCTTTTCCCTTCTTCACAAAGCTGTTGAAGTTAATTGTGAAAATAAACATGTTCAGCCTTTGAAGAAAAGAGGTGACAGAATATTTTTCACATATATCAAGTTCACTTTTCAAGGTAATACCAATGTTGCACTCTGAACACATCTTGCTGTCTCAATGATCTAGCTAGCTGCAGTTATTGCAATGGCTGGTGTCTTGTAGATCAAAGAGAGCTAGGAGGGGGTAGGGTGGCAGAAATACAAAGGTCCTTATGCCTGAGTTTTACCTAGTGATGATGTTTGAAAGTTACATGCTTCAACAGTGGTTAGAAGTGGCACAGCATTTATGTCCTCTGATAGTTGTTGAATATCCTGGTAACAATGAAACCCTAGAATAATAATTAAAAAGAAATGGAACAATTACAGATGGCAGGGCATTTTGTTTTACTTTTTTTTGTTCATGCAGCTGCCACCCAGAATCAAATCTTTGAGGAGTGAGGGGCAAGAAAACATTAGTTGTTCGTCCTATATTGATTGATTATAGAATTTTAAAAAGTGAAACTAATTGAAACAGTATAAAATATAATATTCAACATTACAGCTTTCGGGAGATAATAACCTCCATCAGTCCACCATGAATAACCCACCTTCGAAATTTTTGTGACGTCGTCCTTGTTTTAGTTACTTCCAGATCTTTGTGTAGGCTGCAACCACTTGGAATTGCTGTATCAACTTATCTTTGGCAACGAAGTAATTGCTTTTAGTCAAGTGTTTTCTGTTTGTCCTGCAGGGGTTACCAGGCCCTAGAGGAGATCCAGGACCTCCAGGAGAACCTGTATGTTAGCATTTCCTGTGTACTATTATTACCATTTTTCCAGAAACGATTCCTTTTGCTATTTCTTGCTTGCTGTTACTAACCTTCTATCAGGATGGCTGATTATTTAACATTGACATATTTATTCTTTCAGCTTTTTAAATCTTTCTACTAGTTATATCTGTTATCACATTTTGTTTCTCACTTTCGTCTCCTTTACTACTTTAGAATTCCTTGCTTCTTCTTGAGCTCAGTCCCTTTCTAATATTCTCCCAGAACTCTGACCATATGTGGATCAGTGGACGAACTTTGTGTAACCTGATCCAAGATTTCTGTCTCTGGTATCTGTGCCACGTGAGGAACCAAAGGCACCTTCCCCTCAATGTACAATTCAATAAAAATCATTTGTGTGTCCCAAGTTTAGAAATTACAGTCCAATTTTTCTAGATTATGTTGAAAATATACTCGTGTCAAACTTCTAATGTAACCACTTTATGATAACTTTTATTTTCTTGATGCTATTTTCCCACATGTCATCCTGCGGGATGATTCTGATCCAATTCTGACTGACTAGGAGGCAAATTAGCCAGTGGAAGACAAATAATCCTTGGAATTCCTGTTTTATCCAGACCTTTAAGCTTCTAGGCTCCTGAACCTTTGGAATATGCTGGCTAAACATTCATGTATTTATGGCTGTGGAGATTGGAGAGGCTCAGCGCTATTCCACGCGATAGTTAAAATAAGGAGCTCAGTGAAGTCGATGATTGGATCCCACTCCTTTATGCAAATCATTGGCTTTGAGCAATTCTTTTTTCTTAAATTCTTTCACTCATTTCCTCTTTTAGTAACTTTCCAATGAGCATCTCATCACCAAACTGAAGATGCTAACTTTACCATATTCAATTGCTGAGTAAATTAATTCCAAGAAAAAGGTAAAGAAGTATAGCTAACATTTCATGTAAAATTGCATTAGTATAGTTGTGACACACCGATGTAATAGTATTTTCTGACCTGCAGGCATCATTACCTCTTATTTCAAGGGGACAGATAGAATACATGGTACAGGTGAGTGGTTTGGTAGCCTGATAAAAAAAGATTGGATTCGTGGGGGATGGGTTTTGGGTGGGGGGTGGGGAACAATATAGAAAAATATAAAGGAGCAAAGCAGTACTGTTTTAAGATGTTTGTACCAATGTTGGTCCTAACCATTATTGTGAAAATGCCAATGTTTTTATTTTTTCATGGGATGTGGACATTACTGGTGAGGCCAACATTTGTTCTCATTCTTTACCTGTCTTTGAAAGTAATTAAGATTTAGCCAATTACTGAATTGTGCATCTGAGGTTGACCAGACCAGGTGAGATTGGCAGACTTCCTTGCCCAAATGATATTAATGAACCATATAGATTTTTCTTTTATACAGTTAATGACAGCTTCATCATCACCATTACCATTGCCAGTTCTCAATTCCAGTCTTTTTTTCAAATTAATTGAATTTAAATTCCACGAGCTTCCATGGTAGGATTCAAACCCCATGTTCCAAAGCATTAGCCTGGCCCTCTGAATTACTAGATCATTAATACACTTTCTCATGGATTACTTATTGTCGCCCTTAGGGACTGAAAGAGAGACAACAATTTTCCAATGTTGTTGTCCCTTTGGTACACTGGGTCAACGTACCTTTTGGAAAACCAATAATGTATTATGAGGGACAAATACATCAGGATTTGGTAAAGTTCTTGCTTTCTCTGCTATTCCAAAAATAAGTCCTGCAAATTGTGCCATTTCTTCACTTTTTCAATGACAATATTGAATAATCTGCTGCTACATTTTTTAAAAAATTCTTCTGATATCTATTGCTATTATTTCACCTATTAATATTGTTCTCAGTTGTTAAACTATTCTGCAATGATGTTACAGTGGTTGATTAAATATTACCCTAAGATGGCAGCAGTAAGACCATCTCGTGGTCTTATTAATCATAAGGTAATATGGAATGTCAATGACCCTCTCTTTATAATTGACTAATCAAGCATTATGTATGACATCATGCATTCTTTTGGGTGAGAAACAGTCACAAATATTGTTGGAAGATGATTATTTGCTTTATTACAGTGAGTAATATATGCACAATTAAAGAATGTGACTTGGAGTGGGATTGATCAATGGCATTTAACAGAAAACAGGCAGGGAATGTGAATGACTGTTCAAATTAAAAGGGGAGACACAGAGCTGCATGTGAGATATTCAACTGAACTCTTGTCTTTATCTATTTTAAATTGAAATAGGAATAAATTACTGATCATGCTGAAGCATGGAAGCAACCCTCATTTGTGAGAAAATGCTCACAGCAATCCATAACGCATCATTTCTTACAAAATGACACAACGTAGAAGTAATATTTAAAACATAAATTGTAAAATTTTACTGAATTTTCAATACATTTAAGAAAGATAAGTTAAGAATTCATTATATTTTCAACATATTTAGTAAAGCTCAGTAATGTCATATACAGACTAGCTGGGAACTAAACACTCAGGGGTTTGAGACTATTTGAAATTAGATGGGAATAAAGAGAAGGGTGGTGGGATGGCTTTGTTCCTCCAAGATGGAATTAGTACGTTCACAACAAATGATCTTTGATAGGATGGTGTAGAATCCCTATGGGTGGAGGTAAGAAATTATAAGGAGAAGAAGACACTTGTGGGAGTTGTCTGTAGACCACCCAAAAGTAGGGCATGTAAAAATGCAATATATTAATTGTATGTGATTTTAATCTTCATATTGGGAAAGTAAAATTGGCATAGGTAGCCATGAGGAAGAATTCATTGAGCACCAACAGGGTAGTTTCCTTAAAGGATATGTGTTGGATTCAACCAGGGACCAGGCTTTTTGAGATCTATTTTATGTGGAGTGAGGCAGGTTTAATAATGATCTCAGGGAATATCCCTGGGTATAGTAACCATAACATGGTAGAATTAGCTCTCAATTTGACAGGGAGAAACTTGGTTTGGAAGTAACTGTTCTAAGCTTAAATAAAGATAACTACATGGAAACGAGGATAGAGTTGGCTGGAGTAGACTGAGAAAGGAGTTTAGCAGAAAAGGTGGTTGATGAACAATGATAGATTTTTTTGAAAAAGTTCATAACTCTTAGCAAAGATAAATTGGAAGTTTGAAGGATTCTAGGAAAGGGATAAACCAACCATGGTTAACCGCAGAAGTTAAGGACTGTATCACACTGAAAGAAAAACAATACAGTGGCAAAGATGAGTGGTAAATCAGAAGATTGATAAAGTTTTAAAAGCCAACAAAAGTTGACCAAGAAATAATAGAGTAAACTATGAAGGTAAACTAGCAAGTAACATAAAATGAGACACAAGTAGTTCAAGTCACACATTGCCATCGCCAAAACACATAATGTAACCATTACCCTTCATCAGTTATTGACATTATCATTCAGGAAGAGACTGAACGGTGTGGGAACAATGTTGTGAGAAATGGAATAGATGTCATTGAGAAACCTGTCAAACGTGATTAAGAGAATCCTTGGATTAGGAAGAAAACAGACGAAGTGGACGTACTAAATAAAAACCGGAAGAACTGCGGATGCTGTAAATCAGGAACAAAATTGCAAAGTTGCTGGAAAAGCTCAGCAGGTCTGGCAGCAACTATGAAGAAAAAAAGCAGAGTTAACGTTTCAGGTCCGGTGACCCTTCCTCAGAAATGTTAACTCTGTTTTTTCCTTCACAGTTGCTGCCAGACCTGCTGAGCTTTTCCAGCAACATTGTTTTTGAGACCTAGTGGAAGCAATGGTATGGAAGGTGGCTTCAGCAGAACAAATAACATGGAGATGGAAAATCTAATCAAGGAAGGTGAATCAAATGAAGTGTAGTCAAGGTAACTTTGGAAAGTCATTAGTTTTAGAGGGAGGTAAGGTAATTCAAAAAGCCACAACCATCTTTCTTTTTTTGCAAGGTAGTACTCCAACTAATGGAGAGTTTATCCCCTGTTTCCTAGTGTCTCCAGTTTGCAAGGTTTCCCTGATGCAATACTTGGTCAATGCTGATGTCAAGGCAGTCACTCTCATATCAGCTATGAAGTTAGTGGTTTTTATTCACATTTGAATCAGAGCTAGGAGCCATGTAGCCCTGGTAAAACACAAACCGAGTGAATGTTAGTGAGCAGGTTATTCCTTTGCAAATGCCACTTGATAGCACTGTCAATGACCCATTCCATCAAATTGCTTGCAACTCTTTCTTACAAAATTAAACTGGATTATGGTAATTTATCAGTGGAATCAAACCTTAGTTGATTGGGAGCACCGACAGAAAAAAGATCACTCCAACTAGGATGCTTCTTCTGATCAATGGAATAATAATGCTTTTCCTTCTAATATGATTTTGTTTGATTCCCTCAGGACTTGTGCACAAGTTGTCCAGCTGGTCCACCAGGTCTACAAGGGCTACCAGGTTTGAAAGGAAGCAAAGGTCATGCAGGGCCCCCTGGGAAAGACGGAAAAGACGGTCTAATGGTACGCTAATACAAAAGACTTCAAGAGGAAGAGTAAAATCCTGACTATTAAACTGACCAAAAGAAAACCTGCATGTATACTGACAGTACTCTGTAAGTAGAGAAGCCAAACAGTATCTGAGAGAATAAAATATTTGGAGAAGATTTGGTAGAGGTGTGAAATTTAGTGAAGGTACTGGACAGGAGAATGTATTCCCATTGCCTCAAGAATTGATTTCAGATGATTTTTAAGGTGAATGACAAAAACATTGACGGTGAGGGATTACTGTAACAACCAACCAAATGTCAGTTGGGCTCACAGTATGGTGAGCTTGCATTGTACTGGAAGCTACACATAGATTCATACATAGGACCCCGTTCTCTGGAGACAGAGATAACTTTTACATGTTCCTTCATAGAATATGAATGGAATATGGGAGGAAAAGTATTTTTACACAGCAAGTTCATAGGATCTGGAATATACTTCCTGTCAGAGATAGTAGGAACTGCAGATGCTGGAGAACCTGAGACAACAAGGTGTAGAGCTGGATGAACACAGCAGGCCAAGCAGCATCAGAGGAGCAGGAAGGCTGACGTTTCGGGCCTAGACCCTTCTTCAGAAATAGGGGAGGGGAAGGGGATTCTGGAATAAATAGAGAGAGAGGGGGAGGTGGATAGAAGATGGATAGAGGAGAAGATAGGTGGAGAGGAGACAGACAGGTCAAAGAGGCGGGGATGGAGTCAGTAAAGGTGAGTGTAGGTGGGGAGGTAGGGAGGTAGGGAGGAGATAGGTCAGTTCAGGGAGGACAGACAGGTCAAGGGGGCAGGATGAGGTTAGTAGGTAGGAGATGGGGGTGGGGCTTGAGGTGGGAGGAGGGGATAGGTGGGAGGAATGACAGGTTAGGGAGGCGGGGACGAGCTGAGCTGGTTTTGGGATGCGGTAGGGGGAGGGGTGATTTTGAAGCTTGTGAAGTCCACATTGATACCATTAGGCTGCAGGGTTCCCAAGCAGAATATGAGTTGCTGTTCCTGCAACCTTCAGGTAGCATCGTTGTGGCACTGCAGGAGGCCCAGGATGGACATGTCGTCTGAGGAATGGGAGGGGGAGTTGAAGTGGTTCGCGACTGGGAGGTGCAGTTGTTTAGTGCGAACCGAGCGTAGCTGTTCTGCAAAGCGGTCCCCAAGCCTCCGCTTGGTTTCCCTAATGTAGAGGGGGCCACAACAGGGACAGCGGATGCAGTATACCACATTAGCAGATGTGCAGGTGAACATCTGCTTAATGTGGAAAGGCTTCTTGGGGCCTGGGATGGGGGTGAGGGGGGAGGTGTGGGGGCAGGTGTAGCACTTCCTGCAATTGCAGGAAAAAGTGCCGGGTGTGGTGGGGCTGGAGGGGAGTGTGGAGCGGACAAGGAAGTCCTGGAGAGAGTGGTCCCTCCGGAAAGCAGATAAGGGTGGGGAGGGAAAAATGTCTTTGGTGGTGGGGTTGGATTGCAGATGGCGGAAATGTCGGAGGATGATGCATTGGATCCGGAGGTTGGTGGGGTGGTACGTGAGGACGAGGGGGATTCTGTTTTGGTTGTTATTGCGGGGAGGGGGTGTGAGGGATGAGTTGCGGGAAATGCGGGGGACACAGTCGAGGGCGTTCTCGACCACTGAGGGGGGAAAGTTGCGGCCCTTGAAAAACGAGGACATCTGAGATGTACGGGAGTGGAATGCTTCATCCTGGGAGCAGATGCGGCGGAGGCGAAGGAATTGGGAATAGGGGATGGCATTTTTGCAGTAAGGTGGGTGGGAGGAGGTGTATTCTAGGTAGCTGTGGGAGTTGGTGGGCTTGAAATGGATATCGGTTTCTAGGTGGTTGCCGGAGATGGAGACGGAGAGGTCCAGGAAGGAGAGAGAGGTATTAGAGATGGTTCAGGTGAACTTAAAGTTGGGGTGGAAGGTGTTCACCAACACTCTCTCCAGGACTCCCTTGTCCGCTCCAAACTCCCCTCCAGCCCCACCACACCCGGCACTTTTCCCTGCAACCGCAGGAAGTGCTACAACTGCCCCTACATCTCCCCCCTCACCCCCATCCCAGGCCCCAAGAAGACTTTCCACATCAAGCAGACGTTCACCTGCACATCTGCTAATGTGGTATACTGCATCTGCTGTTCCCGTTGTGGCCTCCTCTCCATCGGGGAAACCAAGCGGAAGCTTGGGGACCGCCTTGCAGAACACCTACGCTCGGTTCGCACTAAACAACTGCATCTCCCAGTCGCAAACTATTTCAACTCCCCCTCCCATTCCTCAGACAACATGTCCATCCTGGGCCTCCTGCAGTGCCACAACGATGCTACCTGAAGGTTGCAGGAATAGCAACTCATATTCTGCTTGAGAACCCTGCAGCCCAATGGTATCAATGTGGACTTCACAAGCTTCAAAATCTCCCCTCCCCCTACCGCATCCCAAAACCAGCCCAGCTCGTCCCCGCCTCCCTAACCTGTCCTTCCTCCCACCTATACCCTCCTCCCACCTCAAGCCCCACCCCCATCTCCTACCTACTAACCTCATCCTGCCCCCTTGACCTGTCCGTCCTCCCTGGACTGACCTATCCCCTCCCTACCTCCCCACCTACACTCACCTTTACTGGCTCCATCCCCGCCTCTTTGACCTGTCTGTCTCCTCTCCACCTATCTTCTCCTCTATCCATCTTCTATCCGCCTCCCCCTCTCTCCCTATTTATTTCAGAACCCCCTTCCCCTCCCCCATTTCTGATGAAGGGTCTAGGCCCGAAACGTCAGCCTTCCTGCTCCTCTGATGCTGCTTGGCCTGCTGTGTTCATCCATCTCTACACCTTGTTATCTCTATACTTCCTGTCAGCCAGTTTCTTGAGCTCAAACTGGCAGTGTGTGTACATGGGGGAGGCAGTGTTGTAATGGTAAGTCTAGGGATAAGCATTCAATTCCCATCATGGCATTGGTGAAATTTGAATCCAATAAAAACTGTGGGATTAAAAGTCAAGCTATTGACAACAGTGTAACCATTGTCAATTGTGGTTAAAATCCCCTCTTGATTGTTAGTCTCCTCCAAATTCCCAGCAATGTGGTTGACTCTAATGGCCCACTGAAATGTTCTAGCGAGCCAATCATTTTCGAGGCAGTTAGGGATGAGAAATAAATGCTTGTAAAACCAGTGACACCCGTATTCTATGGAAGAACAAGTAAAAGTTATTTCTGTCTGCAGAGAATAGGGTCCGATGTATTGACCTATATGTAGCTTCCAGTATATGCAAGCCCTACTATGAGCCAACTGAAATTTGGTTGGTTGTCAGTGTAATTCCTCACATGTTCAGCATTATTCAGCAAATGTTTTTACGTTGGAGTGGCAGGGTGGCTCAGCAGTTAGCACCAGCTACCCAGGTTCAATCCCATCCTTAAGTGACTGTGTGTGTGGAGTTTGTAAGTTCTCCCCGTGTGTGTGCAGTTTCTTCTGGGTGCTGTGATTTCTTCCCGCAGTCCAAAGATGTGGGTTGGCCATGCTAAATTACCCATAGTATTCAGGGATGTGCAGGCGAGGTGCATTAGTCATGGGAAATGCAGGGTTATACGGTAGGGAGTGGGTCTAGGTGAAATCCTCTTCAGAGGGGCAGTGTGGGTTGAATGGCCTGCTTCCACACTATAGGGGTTCTATGATTGAAATGTCACATGTTAAGTTGGGCATTATTTTGTGAATTCTATGAGTGTGGTCTGGTTGGGTACAATCAGTACTTTGCTTCTTAAGAACAGCCGAACTGACGCACAGTTTGATATGATCCACCAGTCTTTGAGATGTACAAGCTGCATACCTGGCATCACCGTAGCACTGAAATTCAAATACCAATTACTCATTTTGTGATAGATGGCAAATCTTTTTGGCTTTACACAGCATCCTGTTAGTGGTGAACACTATTTGAGTTGCTACTGCATAGTAACAGTGTGAAACATCCAGCTTAACTTGTTGTTCAAACTTCTGGAATACCTTGCCCTCAAAGTAATCTGAAATCGATTGGCAACTTTGCAGGACCATTTTGGATCTTTTCATGAGTTTGCACTATATTCAGCAAAAAATGATCTGAACCGGGTAGTCATTATCCCTCAAGATGATTTTGGTACACCCTATTTCGGCACCAGGTTCCAGGGTGAACAAATGGCCCTATTTACAGGCCCAGAAAGATCAATTGTATAGCATGTGGAACTGTCAGATTCCCAACATGTATACTAACAAGTGAAGGTTATTTTGCATTGAACCGTAGTAGAGAACCCCCTCTCAACTAGAACATTGAAGAAAGGAAGCTCATTTGACTGTTCCTTTTTAAACATGAATTTCAACATAGAATGGAGCCCATTAAGCAGGAAGTTGCAGATTCAATTCAATGGGAAAACCAACATTTATACTCTATGAGAGGAGATGCTGATTATCTGCAGTGGACCTTGATGGATAAAAGCATTGCCATGGAGAATGCATCCATTACTGCTGATTGACAATTAACTGCCAGCCATCGTTTAAATTTTAAACCAGGAAGGTTGTCTAGTTAGACCATTAGCCTGAGAAATAAACCCAGTAGATGGCTGTGATCTATCTTACTGAGCTAAAACAGGTGCAGCATGTATGCATATTCTTTCTGGCTGCAAACTGCACACTGTGAATCCAAGTGATAATCCAAAATTGGTTGTTATTATAATTACTTGTACCTTCAGGATTATCCAGCTAATGTTGTACAATTGCAGAACCACACCGTGTTTAGAGTTTTGTAAGCACTTGCTAGTTAGGTTTTCCCATTGAATTAGAATTCTTGTGAATTATCCTGATCAATATTAGACATAAAGCTTTTCTGAAATATGTCTTTTCAATTACATTCAAGCTCTGTACTACCAAATGATGAATTGATATGGTAAAAGGCGATTGGGTGGAAAACAGTCAGAACTTTAGTTGATAAGTGAGTTCAGAAAATTCTTTACTTTATCAGAAGAAGCACATCAGTCTGCACTGCCCATCTTGTTGTGAAGCTGTGATAGGTATATGATCATCATTTCATCCATTTCAAAATAAATTGTAAAGCTTTACACTGATAAATTTGTTGTTTGGCCTTAAATAACTTTTCGTTAACTTTAGGGCGAAGCAGGACCATCAGGGCTGCCTGGACCACAAGGCCCAGCAGGAATGACGGTATGAAATGCAAGCAATTCACCATGTACCTCACTGAATCAAAGATCCTGGTGATTTGTTCCTTTCCCGCCTTGATAGTACAATTAGTTCCTTGTCAATATTAATACTTCTACACAAATAGACATCATTATTATTCCCTTCACCACCCTCTCTGGCAGCACATTCCACTCCTCACCTTAAACTTGTGCCCTCTAGACATATCTGTCATGTGGAAAAGATTCTCACAATCTACCTTGACTATACCTCTCATAATTTTGTATACCTCATTCAGATCAGCCACCCCACCCACCCCACCACCATCATCATCCTCGGCTCCAAGGAAAATAAATTCAGCTTATCCAGCCATTATGTGTTGTACCTGCAGACTAACTTTTTGTGACTCATAGACGAGAGCGCCTAGATCTCTCAGCATTTTGGAATTACACTGTCATTCTCCATTTAAGTAACGTTCTGCTTTTTTTTAAATTCTTCCTGCCAAGTGAATAATTTCATATTATTTAACATTATACCTCATCTGCCAGATTTTGCCGACTCACCCAACCTAGAGATATTGTTTACAAACTCCTTATGTCTTCTTTGCAGCATACTTTCTACTGACCTTTGTGTCATTTACAGAATTAACTACCTGGCTTTGCTGCACACATCTTACGTTATTAGTCTCCGCTTGTCACATTCTGGCATTCAGACAAAGACCTATTTAAGTATATGCTCTACATGCAGCCAGTAAGCCAATCTTCCATCCATGTTAATATGAAGTACTTACACCATTACACAATAACATTGATGTAGCTACTTATCCAAGACCTTCAAGTACATTACATTTATAGGCTGCCCTCTATCCACAGCACATGCTACTCCTTTGAAGAATTGTAATAAATTGGTTAAACATGATTTTCATCTCATGAAACCATGCTGACTCTTCCCAATTATCTTTAAAGTTTCCAGGTGCCCGGCTATTAGCTCTTTAACAATCAACTCTACCACCTTTCCCACTTCAGACATCAAGCTAACTGCCTTATATTTTCCTGTTTTACACTTCCTTTCCTTGAATAGGTGGGTTGCATTTGATATTTTCCACATATGAGATATCACAAGTCAGGGCCCAATAAGTTCATTATTGCCACAACTTAAAATTAAGAATGAGTGAGAAACTCAAGGTGCAATATTTCCAGTAGCAGATTTGAAGCAACTGGTGCCAATTAAGCACTGAGAATCCACTCTTTCTGGCATTTCTTGTTGGCCAGGAAAAGTGACCTCACAAGAGGTCCCCTTCAGCCTCCTAATGACACCTCTTTCCCATATTTTACCATTTCTGATTACATCCTGATGTTTTCACCTCCTCCAGTTGACCTAAACACGGCTGTGATCTCTTCGTCTCTCTCTCTCTCTCTCTCTCTCTCTC